AGTCGGAACGGCCCGGATCGGCCGACTATATCCTATAGCTGCCATCTAACTGATTGATCGGAAATGGTATAACTTTGGTGTTTTTAGAGTTAGAGAGTTCAAATTTGACATGTGAGCTATTTTTGGCAAAACATTACGTCATGCCAAATTTCATAAGGATCGGCCGACTATATCCTATAGCTGCCATATAACTGAACGATCGGAAATGACCCAACTTTCGTGTTTTTGAAGATAGAAAGCTGGAACTTAGTACAGATTTAATTCTTGGTCAGTTGATCCAACCTACCAAATTTCATTAGGATCGGCCGACTATATCCCATAGCTGCCATATAACTGAACGATCGGAAATGGTATTTGGTAGAAATATCAACTTTCGTATTTTTGAAGATAGAAGTTTGGGACTTTTTTTAGATTTTGTATTGTAATAAATTGGATTATATATTCCTATTCCCATAAGGATCGGCCAACTATATCCGATGTTTGCGATATATATCCGGTTTTAACTGCAAGGGTATATAAACTTCGGCTCCGCCCGAAGTTAGCTTTCCTTTCTTGTTATACCCTTGCAGAGGGTATTATAATTTTGGTCAAAAGTGTGCAACGCAGTGAAGGAGACATCTCCGACCCTATAAAGTATATATATTCTTGATCAGGATCACCTCCTGAGTTGATATGAGCATGTCCGTCTGTCCGTCTGTCCGTCTGTCTGTCTGTTTCTACGCGAACTAGTCTCTCAGTTTTAAAGCTATCGACTTGAAACTTTGCACACACCCTTCTTTCCTTTGCACGCAGTATATAAGTCGGAACGGCCCGGATCGGCCGACTATATCCTATAGCTGCCATATAACTGATTGATCGGAAATGGTATAACTTTGGTGTTTTTAGAGTTAGAGAGTTCAAATTTGACATGAGAGCTATTTTTGGCAAAACATTACGACATGCCAAATTTCATAAGGATCGGCCGACTATATCCTATAGCTGCCATATAACTGAACGATCGGAAATGGTACTTGGTAGAAATATCAACTTTCGTATTTTTGAAGATAGAAGTTTGGGACTTTTTTTAGATTTTGTATTGTAATAAATTGGATTATATATTCCTATTCCCATAAGGATCGGCCATCTATATCCGATGTTTGCGATATATATCCGGTTTTAACTGCAAGGGTATATAAACTTCGGCTCTGCCCGAAGTTAGCTTTCCTTTCTTGTTTTTGTTTTAACATAGTAAGCGTTGTATAGTGCGAGTGAAAAGGCTATACAGTACTTTGATTAACCCTTACACGGAGCATGGGGCTAAAAGTTTTTCTTAGTTATGACAAGAGTTGTAGTGTTTATAATTATACCCTTGCAGAGGGTATTATAATTTTGTCCAAAAGTGTGCAACGCAGTGAAGGAGACATCTCCGACCCTATAAAGTATATATATTCTTGATCAGGATCACCTCCTGAGTTGATATGAGCATGTCCGTCTGTCCGTCTGTCCGTCTGTCCGTCTGTCTGTTTCTACGCAAACTAGTCTCTCAGTTTTAAAGCTATCGTCTTGAAACTTTGCACACACCCTTCTTTCCTTTGCACGCAGTATATAAGTCGGAACGGCCCGGATCGGCCGACTATATCCTATAGCTGCCATATAACTGATTGATCGGAAATGGTATAACTTTGGTGTTTTTAAAGTTAGAGAGTTCAAATTTTAGATGAGAGCTATTTTTGGCAAAATAATACGACATGCTATATTTCGTAAGGATCGGCCGACTATATCCTATAGGTGCCATATAACTCAACGATCGGAAATGACCCAACTTTCGTGTTTTTGAAGATAGAAAGCTGGAATTTAGTACAGACTCTATTTTTGGTTAGTTGATCCAACCTACCAAATTTCATTAGGATCGGCCGACTATATCCTATAGCTGCCATATAACTGAACGATCGGAAATGACCCAACTTTTGTGTTTTTGAAGATAGAAAGCTGGAACTTGGTACAGATTATATTTTGATCCATCCTACCAAATTTCATAAGGATCGGCCAACTATATCCGATGTTTGCGATATATATCCGGTTTTAGCTGCAAGGGTATATAAACTTCGGCTCCGCCCGAAGTTAGCTTTCCTTTCTTGTTTTATTTTAATAAGTTTAGAGTTTGACATTATTCTTTGTTTTTGTTTTTGGACAGCCAATCTTTTGTTTAAGTTCTTAATTCTAAAGTGTATGCGTATCTTAAAATAAAATTTTTTTATGTTTACACTTATATCGACCTGCTCAGCGGCGTTTAACAATGTGTGTTTTAAATTTGTAGTTATTTGAAATGTGTCCTTAACAATATGTAAAAATATGAGTTCAAGTTGTTTTGTTCCCACAAAGCTCTTTTTTCAATGCACTTTCATAAACTTTACGCCTAGCACGTGCTTGCGACAATAATAGCAAAAAGTCATTTTTTGCTTGGTCACTTAATGGGTAAAGGTATGAAAACAAAATCACCTTTCAGTTTGACAGTTTGGAATTAAGGGACCAAACCCGAACGATATGTCAGTGGAATGGACTACCTTATATAATTGTATCATGCTCAGGATGTGCTTTATAATTTATTGTTACATGTGCTTAATATTATTAGGGTTTTTGACGTTTCATCTAATCGAAAATAAACAGCATTTTTAAGATCATATAAGCATTTCCCCAAGTTTCATAAACATCATTAATATTTCGAAAACCAATAACCTAAATTTCCTGGTATCTTTGAACATGTTGATGGGAATATATAGTCCATGGATTTTCTTGGGTTGCCTGTTAATCGTGAGTTGATGAAACATTCTCAAAAAGAATAAATATTTTTTTAAAATCAAAGTCTTAGCTTGTTTCCATGAGAGGAGTCCCGGCGGTCCCTTGGTCTGCTCTTAATGACTCTGGTTTAGTAGAAAGTTCGGATTTCTTCCACAGCCGGAACACTGAGCTTCCTTTTCTTTTTGAAGATTCATTTGAACCTAATCCGCCAGAAAATCAAAGAAATGATAAGCAGTCAGAACAGGGAACAGGAGGAGTAGCCGCACAAAAACACCACGCGGATGTAAAAAGGCCTGCTTCCTCAGGAGCTGGACGCCTGATGCCTCCATTGCATGCAATTTTAAAACAAATTCTGAAATTAAATTAGAAATTAAAATTTTTTTTTAAAACTACTCTTACATCTACGATTTTATTTATTTTATTTATACATATCCGTAACACAATATAAAATTGTCAGTTTCTTTTAAACACTTCTTCAAGTAAAAAACAACTATTTTAGATTCTTGGAATGGATAGATTTCAAGCGTATCCTCGAAACGGGGCTTAAGCCTTTCTATACGAGTGGAATTCCGTGCCTGTTCATGATAATGTCCATGAACGGATGCCTTAGTGAACAAGCACAGGTATCCGGGATAAGGTATATCGTATCCAGGGCCGTAGCTAGTATGGGGCAGGTGGGGCGGTGCCCCAGGGCCCCCGAAGGAAAGGGGCAAAAGACTTCCGTATAGGGGGCCCCAAATTTACTTGTTGCCCCAGGGCCCCCGAGGCTCTAGCTACGGCCCTGATCGTATCCAATATCCTCTCAGATAAGGAACTAAAAATAGATGCAGTATTTCATTCCATCTAAAATATTACGCCGCATTGCAAATATTAAACATAGGTTCATGTGTAAATAACTAATAATAGATAATAAATAATGGAAACTAATATGTAATATACTTCTAGTTTCTCATAACTAAGGTAAAAGAAAAGGAAAACAAGAAAGAGAAGCTAGTTTGCGGCAGAGCCATAGTTGGTCAATTCTTATGAGAACATCATTGTAAAATCAATTTCTTATATCACAAGTTTGGAGAGTATCTTCAAATAAATCAAATTTTGGCATTTCATAACGTTCAGTTATTGAATACAAACGGATTGTGGCATTTTCATTTAGGATGTGTGAAAGGTTAAAGTCTATAGCTTTAAAATTGAATAGTCGGACGGATAGTCGGGCAGACAGACGGACAACGGATATGCTTATATGGATTCAGGAGGTGATCCTGATCATGAATATGTACACCTTATAGGGTCGGAGACGTTGCACTCTTTCGACCAAAATTATAAAAAGGGACAAAAATATTTGATTTACCATATAAAATATTTATTATTAATCTATCAATTTTATTATTAAAAAAATTAAACCACCATTTTGAATAAATTTCAATTTAAATGGAATCTGTACTTTATTATTTTTAGAATTTGACATTTTTGATCAAGTATACAATTAACAAAGGCTCAAATCTAAAAATTCAAAATTTTAAGCATGTTGGGAGTTGATTCTTTGGCTTTCTTTTTTTCCCTGTTAATCGTGAGTAAATTTTTTAGATTTATTTTAAATGTATTTCCTCAAAACGGCACTGCAGCTCGTTTCCATGAGTGGAGTCCGGGCGGTCCCTATGCCTGCTCTTAATGACTCCGATTTGTCCCCAAGTTTGAATTCACTCAAGAGCAGGAATACTAAGCCACCTTCTATTTTTCAAAACTCCTTTGGAACTGAGCCCGCAAGAGATCCAAGAGTTGTCAATGAAGGAACAGAATTTCAAGGATGCCAACTGGAGGAAAAACGGGCTGCACCATCAGGGGTGGGACGCTTGATGCCTCCGTTCTATGTAATTGTAAAAAAAATTCAGAATTACAAATTATTTTAAAATATGTTCCGACAATACGATTTTCTGTGTCCTATATCCTTAATCCTTACCCTATATAAAAATGATAGATTTCTCAAAACGGTTCTTTTAAAAGGAAAAAAATAAACATTGTAGATCCTCTAAAAGTGAATCCCCGAAACTGGCTTACATGAGTGGAATCGGAGTGGATCCTATGACTGTCCGTGAATAATTCTATTTTATATAAAGATCAGATTGTTGCATAAACACGCACAGGGAACCGCCTATCCTTCGATTATAAACTTAAAATAGATTTAACCATAACATAAAAAATACTATGATCCATAAAAAGAAAAGTATAACAAGTTTCTCATAACTACATTTTGGAAGAAAAAAAACTGTTTTGATCCCTTACAAATTAATTAATATTATCCGGCGCCAAAAAATGTCTTTGATAATTAATAATCTTTTGAAAATGTCATTTTTAATGAAGACTGCAGCTAATTTTTTTTATAGAATTTAAAATTTTTGATCAAGTATACAATTCCTAAAGACTCAAATCTAAAAATTCAAAATTTAAACATGTTGGGAGCTTATTTTTTGGGTTTCTTTTTTTCCCTGTTAATTGTGAGTAAAATAGATTTATTTTTAAAAGTATATCCTCAAAATGGCATTGCAGCTTGTTTCCATGAGTGGAATCCGGGCGGTCCCTATGCCTGCTCTTAATGACTCCGATGTTCCTACAAGTTTGGATTTATTAAGGAGCAGGAATACGGAGCCTCCTTCTATTTATCTAAATTCAGTTGGAACGGAGCCCACAATAAATCTAAGAGCTGAAAGTGAGGTAACAGAAGGATTTCACGAAGGATGCGAAGGAGCGAACGATAAAACGGCTGCACCTTCAGGAGTCGGACGCTTGATGCCTCCGTTCTATATGATTATAAAACAAATTCTGAATTAAAAATTATTTCAAAATATGTTCCTACAATACGATTTTTTGTGTCCTATATCCTTAACCATTCCCTATATATAAAGTTGATAGTTTTCCCTAGACTCTTCTTTTAAAGGAAAGAAGAAAGATTTCCTATCCTTGAAAAGTATCGGCTTGAAACAGGGTTACATTATTGCTTACATAATTGAAATCGAATCGGATCCTGTGCCTGTTTATGAGGAATCCCAATTACAAGACAAGATACCTTAAGATACCTTAAGAAATATGCACAATGCCTGGTCATTTATAACGAAGCTAAAAATAGATAAATCGTTATGAAAAATATAAAAAAGTTTTCATAACTATATTTTTGTGGAATTTCCGCTATTGTACAGTCGAAAAGGTCTGACTATGTCATTTTTAATAAACTTCAATTTGAATGCAATTTCAGCCTAATTTCTTTTTTTGGAATTACAAATTTTTGATCAAGTATACAATTCTTAGAGGCTCAGATCTAACAACTTAAAATTTCAAGCATGTTAAGAGTTTATGATTTGGATTTCGTTTGTTGCCTATTGATCGTGAGTTAAATATATTTCCTTTAAAAGGAAAAGTATATCCTCGAAACGGCATTGCAGCTTCTTTACACAAGTGAAATCCGGGCGGATCCTGTGCCTGTTCCTGAGGACTCCTATTTACTCCCAAGATCGGCTTCCATCAGGCACAGGAACCCGTCTATTCGATCAGAATCGTCCTCTGAAAACGAACCAAAAATAGATCCAGGATTTGATGACAACAGTGGCGGAAACAAGTTCTACGCCGAGGAGTCCTTGGTTGCGGAGGGACAACCTCCTTGTGGTTTTCGCGAACATACAACTACATCAGGAACTGGTCGGCTAGCTCCCAGTTTCCGATCTATTTTCCCTATTAGTTTTCTAAATTATCGTCGTAGAGTTAACAACTGAAAATGATTTGTGTATATATTTCAACTGCTTATCTCTTGAATTAGATTATAAAATCTGGGATTTACGAATGAATATAATATAAAAATTTTTAATCATTTTATTTAAATTCTTCCATTTAGCTTTAATAATTTTCATAAATAATCCAAAGAATAAACCCCTGCCACAGAACCCTCTCTCTGTATTCTAATTTTTCTGCTGGCTCAGTTCGTTTTTCGTGCGTTTCGCGAAATTGTCACAACCGATGACCCAATTACCTGGCAGGGTGTTCTTGGCTCTTGGGTCTTGGGTCTTGGTTCTCAAACACACACATCCCATCCCCCCGCCGGCCAGGAGGGAGACATCAATGGGGGGTACGTCTGTGCTGGGGGCTTGGTCTTGGTTTCGCCCGGTTTACGTTTACTGAGTTAGCAAGAAATGCCTTCAATGTTGCAACTCCAGCGCTTCGTGCACTCACATTATTTTTATATATATGCGAGTATATATAGGTATATGACCAAAATCGAGCCAAGCGAATTTCGCAAATAATTGGAGCAGTTTGCCAACGCTCACGTTTTCGGCAAGGTAACACTTTGCCAAGGTAAAGACAGCTCCGATAATGCCATTTTCCATATGGCTACAAAAGCAAAAAACAAAGAACCCCGGGACCCCAAGATATATGTATTGGTATACCCAGTGTCACGCTGATTCTAGAGGCAACAATCATCAAATCGATACTTGATACGTTCGTCTTATCGGTCGAAAGGAAGGGAGGATGGGAATGAGTCCTGTTGGCGATTAGTGGCCTCGATAAGGCAAATCAATAGTTGATAAGCGTCCTGGGCCTGGGACAGAGTCTCCCATACAAGTGTTATCGCTGCAAAGGAGTTTAGACTTTATCTGCACTGAAAAAAAGAAAGTCCTAATAAATAATGTTTTTAAGGATCACTATGTAAGTAAATTTGTATTCTTTATAGGTTTTGAATTTCCTAATGGAGAGTATTCGAATAAAATTAGGATTCTAAGGAACTATAATAGTAATGTATAATTTCTTTTAATAGTAAACAGCTTTGTAATCCATTTTAAAAATTCGTATAATTGTAAAATTACTATAATTACTTATCCAAGACCTTTAATTACTGATCAAAATTAAAATTTTCAGTGTAAACCCAAAAAAACTGTTTACTTTATTCGCACATCCTGGCCCTTTTTCGATCGCTGATATGTGACTCACGATACGATTAAATCATAAACAGAAACCTACAACAATAACAAAAACAAGTAAATAAATATTGTGTGTATCTTTAAATATTTGTATCGATATCTGTGGACTGGCTGAGGTCCTAAAAGGGACGCACAGAAGTACGTAGCACATTATCAGTGCATTTTCTGGGGGCGTTGACCAGGCTGGCTCAAGGTTCCTTATCAGTGACAATGGAAAGCGGGGAGGAATGGATCGGGGTCGGGCTGGATGTGAAGCTAAACGACCGCCACAAGTCTGGGACAGTGTCCGATGATGACTTTAAAATCCTACCGGACCGCCGAGGGGCGGAAGACCCGCAGAGGCTTATCACAAGACCGGCCGACGAGCGTAAATAATACAATGCGGCCACTCCGTCCGCAGGGCACCAGGAAACTCCGGGCAAGGGGATATAGGGGGGGTTTTCCAACAGCCAGGAAAAACCAAGGAAAAAGTGCGATAGGCCAAGGGGCAAAAGTAACCAAAGGAAAAGGAAAAATGAAAAGCAAACCAAAGTGCATTCGCCTTTCTGGGAAACGAGGAGGAAGCCAGGAGTTTAGTTTGCACTGGGAATAAAATAGAAAATATTAAATTAATTAATGAAATAAATTCCCACTCTATGGATGAAAAGGGATCATTATGTTTTCACCGTTGCCCTGGGAAAATGCACGGAAACCCCCTTTGGCAAAACCAATAATTACTTTCAATTAAAAACTCGTACAATCTGTTATGTAAAAGTTTCTTTTTTTGTGAATTCTGCGGGTAAAGGATCCCCGCTTCTGGCGCAGAACTGCTGGAATTGATTGCCTTAATTGAGGTCGATGAGACCGAATTAAACTCAAAAGGTCCCGTTCATCCACCAAAGTAATCGGCGACGAACACGCGCCTGTCGCATGCTGGCCACCAGAAATTATGCAGGATCGCGGATGCTACCGATCCGGTAGTCAAGTCCTTCATGTGGGCAGGATCGATTTCCTTGGGAACGAATCGAGCCTAACAACTTCAGATTAATGCAAAATTTTAGTTTATGAACCAATTTTATTTATTACCATTTTAATTTATTAACCAATAATGAAATAAATATATTAATTTATGTTTTTCTATTGATAATTTTTCTCCCAATATGAACAACTCATTAAAAAGTGAATGTGAAATATTTTTAGAATTATAACTTTAGAATTTGTACTTATTTATTTTTATTTATTTATTTATTTAACGGCTAAACAAAAATTATAGCTTAGTCTTTATGATTAAAGCTATAGCAACTAGGGCCTTAAGCTTAACTTTAGAATTGTTTTGAGTTTGTTTCACAAAGAAGGAGAATTTTTAAATTTAAAAGGAGACTATAGGAATATTTTTGGATTTATGTACATACATACATACATAATTACATATGTACCTTATACACTCAAAATACCTAACTTTCTTTAACATTCTTGCATTACTTTTTATCACAGATTACTCACTGAGAGTAATATTAAAATATTAAATTTCTAAATATGTGCAGCTTACTTTCTATTTAAAGGATTTTCTATTAAAAGTTTTTATTGTATTATTAAAAAGAAAGCTTAAAACATTTTCAAAAAACTACAATGCTTTTGATATCAGCCGAAAAAGATTTGAAGATTAACTCTACAACATATTGCAGTTAAATTATAACTTAAATGACTTTGTATCTTATTGTAGTCAAATTATAAAACAATCATCAAGTCTAGTCGATCCTCGGGTAGAGTTCAATGATCTCTGGGGAGGGAACTATCCAAAGGAAAATCAAAAGGGAAAGGCAAGAAGCAAACAAAGACACAATAGGGGAAAATAAACAATAGGGAAAATCAAGAAAACTATGAAAGGGGTCTGGAGATGAATAGGATACCTGGTGCGAGGTTGAAAAAGGCAGAAAGGCTGAAAGTCAATGGAGTTGCCGGGAATTGATGAAGCCAGCAAGGACTCCTGCCGATCACGTGGTTCGAATTCACAATCATCCTTGATCCTCGAGGAGATGTGCGTGCTGCGATACGCGTGTGTTCCGAGAATAGCAAACAGGACACGCCCACGCCCATGCCCACTGCAGAGTCCTTTTTCGGTAATACGAGCCCACAGGAATCTCGAAGCCAGCCTCTGGATGGTGTTGAGTAATTTGTGCGTTGCTGAGATAAAATCTGTTAAGCGGTTAACAAACATAAACAATCGCTACGGGGGTGGATAAGATGGAAAACGCACTGGAAAAAATAAAAGAAAATACAAAATAGAAAACTTTCTCAATTTATTTATTTAATTAATATAAGATTTATTCCCATTTATCCTTTGATTCCCATGCTTTTGAAAACCATTTGCGTTTAGAGTGTTAATGGCAAGATTTAACCCCTAGTGTGCTGAGCCGGCGGGGGTGTGGAACTGGTAGCTCCTTCTGGTCGTATGCTGGCAGTCTATTTTCGGCACCCGAATCGTGACACTTAAGGCTCTATGTGGGTCTGAATCCTTGTCAGGGTGACCTTCCCCTATTTTGGGGGTAACTTTCCCGCCGGCTATTTCTGGCAAAGTGAGGGCGCTTGTCAATCTTTATTACGATTTCCATACATGCACAAATTAAGGATCAGAGACAAGTACCCGCAGCTCCTTACAGCAGGACTACAATGGCCCGATTGAAAGTTCCCACATGGGCAGAACAATAAATTAATAGAACGCTCCCTCGAATCCCCATCCCTTCCAATCACTTAACTTTTTTTTGTGAAATGACTAATGAAGCGTCTGTGATAAATGGGTCTCTGGAATCTCAAGGAGGGCCTGAACAGAATCATTTTCTTTGTATAGATCTTCAATTAATTCACCATTAGGATGCCAATCTTCAGAAATAGAATTTGAATTTCTTAGCTGGTCTATTTTTATGCAAAATAGCCAGGTAAGGAGCGAATTCCTGTTCCTTTTGTCTATCCCCAAGCTGCCGCCAGATACACACAAAAACAAATTGCATTTTTATCTATTTTCTATTTTTACTTGGAAAATGCCAACATCGCAGTGTGGCAGAGTGGCAAGAGGCAGTTGAACGAGCAAAGCGGAGGACGGAGGATTATAAGGCACATCATTGCCGGCGCGGCAATTTCCTTCCTGCTTTTGCCGCACAAATAGCTGTAATAATAAAACCGATCTCTCCCCAGTCCCTGTTTTTGTTGCCCGTTTATGGTTGGGAGGCTGTAGGATGCGACAAGAAAAGCCGGAAAAACTCCTTGGCCGCGCACACAGATGCACAGGCGCTCTCCGATGCACAGATACATAGATACAAGATGCTGCACATTGCCGCCGTTCGTTGTCCTATCTTAAGAGCAGAGATCGTACCGACTCTCCCGTCTGCCAGGGATGCCCATTTGGCCTTTTTTTATAGTTCAGATATATTTTTATCCTTTTCCTTTTAAGTAGATTGCAGAAGAAATTCTAACATTAGAAGAAAGAAGTTCTAACAATATTTTATCCTCGTAAAAGGGTTTAGTGCAAATTTGTCTTTTATCAAAGGATTACCATATTTATTACATGTGCATATAAACTATTCAGCCTAAACTCTCAATATAACTATTTAATAATGGTTTGTGAAATAGGATATTGGGCTTCTCAATGACATAGATTTTACAAAGAAATAGTAAAAACTTCTATATTTTATTTGGGTTCGACTATATTTGCGATAGATAAAAAATGGAAGTTGTATATATTAAAGTCTCATTCATAAAAGCTTTCATTGCAAACGAGAAATTTATTTTTAAATTTTAAAAACTTGAAAGCTTTACATGATATTTGAATAATCTTCCTTGTACATTTTATAATAACATTTAGTTTTCAAAAT